AGGCGGAGGACTGTCCTGCGGGGGCGGGCAGGGCTGGGCGCGCTGGCGGGGTGCTGGTCGTGCGCTGGGGACCTCCCTAGGGCGCTGGGACGGGGACCCGCTCCCTCTGCCGTCGCAGGGGCTGGGGTCCCTGCTGCCCGCTGGCAGGAAGATCGTTAGCTGTTCCCATTTCTTCGGGAGCGGAGGCTTCAGGCAGCAAGGCTGACCCGATGCCTTATGTGAAGCGATCTAATAAGTACGGGCACGGATGTGAAGGAAAAGAGAAATTTTATTTCCGTCTCAGGCAACACAGGAACCGGCTGTTTGTTCAGCCCGAGCAACCTAATTGTGTTCTTCAAAGACCATTGGAAGAATTTTACATATAATTTAAATACCTGGTGTGACTCACTCATCTCCTGACCGAGCTGCTGCGGCAGGATTTCCTGGCCCTTTAGAAACCCCAGGCTAAGCCCAGCAGTTTCCCTCCGAGACGAACCCCAAATAAAAACAACCTGTTGCCAATCCTTCTCTAATTAATGATCGTTTCTAGGCCAGCAGAATTTGTACCAGTGTCTGCCATTTCTCTTAAAAGGACCAAGTGGCTGGTAGTGCGGCAAGTCTCGGGGAGAGCCGGCGGGCAATCAGGAGAGCAGCGTGGGGTTGTACGTACGGGAATGGCGTTCTGTCCATCCTGCCGAACCCAACACCGGAGCCAGAGCCGCTCCGTCAGCCCGGGCTGGGGCGTTCCGGCTGTGGCCCCGGGCTCTGGAGCTCGTTGTGGGACCCCAATGATTGCTGTCGCAAGGGAGGAGTTTTGCTTTTCTCTGCCCATGGCACCAGCTGGGAAGAGAAAAAACGAGCAGACGTTATTTGTATTTGGACAAGCCGCAGAGTCAAAGGCAGATACACGGATGTCCGAAAGCAGCCGTGGGCACAATAATCAGAAAATACGGTGAAGGTTGTCATAGTGCCCCAAAGGGAACACCCAGCTCCAGCGCTCGTGGCAGACGGGAGGTGGGCAGGGTGCCCTGGCCACAGCCTATGTCCCCCCCCAGTTTTATGGAGGGAAAAAGGAGGGTGTTTAAAACGCTGTCAGGACTCCACTCCCTAGGGCTCCGTCTCTGGTGGACACCAGTGCAGCTTTGTGGTCCAAAGGCAGCGATTCCTTTCGGTACGGAAAGTTAATTGACATCCCTTGGGAGGCACGTGCCTGCGTTTCGTGTGGAAAGGCTGAATGGTCCCGGAGCCCCAACAAGCCCAGGAGAGGCCTGAAGGCAGACCAGGTAACGATGCTCTTCCAGCGGCGGCGAGAGCGCGCTTTGGTTGTACAAGACGACAAGTCGAGACGATCACGGCCACGACCAAAAACAGGATGTGGGCGAGAGGAGGGCTCTGCGGGGCGGCTGCAGGGGGGCAGGAAGGAGCTCGCAGAGAAGCTAAACTGCTCCGGGAGCAGATCAAATGAGAAAGCTCCTTTAAACTGGCACTGCTCCTTGCAGAGAGCGCTCGGGAGGGCTCCCCGCTCTGCCGGGGCAGGGCCAGGGTGGGCGGCAGCGCTGCGTGGCGACGCCGTGGTTCGGGGCGTTGGGGCTCCACGGAATGGGCTCTGGTCTGTCCATGGGGAGGTGTTCCCACTGACCACGGGTCGGTGAGCCCCTTGCTCGGTCTCCTGGCAGCCAAAGGGATCGATTGCCTCTTCTCTCCTCAGCCCCCGCAGATAAAGGGGACAACGTGCGTTTACTGCAGAGCGACGTGCAGCAGCTCTCAGGAATGCAATTACTTTTGAAACTTAAGACTTTAATTAATTTGCTGAATGCTGCTGAGCCTGACCTTGCAAGGGTTCTTAACTGTTTAACCAGGTCTTGCCCAGAGCCCAGATCTAGGCAACCCCTGCCTGAGCTCAGGACCCTGCATCAAATACGGGCAAGACGCAGTCACGGTGCCCAGCCCCTGGGTTTGCAGAAAACAGGCGGAAAGCCCACTTGAGGCGAGGGGAGGGTTTGGGTCCTAAGTCTATTGCCTGGTTTAGCGCAGCATGGAGTGAGCTGAGGCATCTCCAGCGTGAGAGCTGGCCCAAGGCCAGCCTTGCAGTTCCCTGGGCCAGCCTTGCAGTTCCCTGGGCCAGCCTTGCAGTTCCCTGGGCCAGCCTTGCGGCTCCCTAGGCCAGCCTTGCAGCTCCCTGGGCCAGCCTTGCG